TGATGGGTTGTCCAGCACATGACCTGACTGGGGTCGGGGATCCAGCCTGCAACCAAGGCACCTGCTCTTGACCAGAATCGAACCCATGACCCTTCAATCTACGGGCCAACACTCCAACCACTGAGCAAAACCAGCGAGGGCAGCGGTTGCCAACCAGTGGTCCGTGTGGTCCAAAAGGTTGACCGCTGTGCTAGGGCATTTATTTAGTTCTTATTTTTTAAATATATTTGTATTGATTCCAAGGGAGAGGGAGAAAGATAGAAACATCAATGATGAGGGAGAATCATTGGCTGCATCCTGCACACCCCACACTGGGGATTGAACCTGCAACCCAGGCACGTGCCCTTGAACGGAATTGAACCGAGAGAAACATCAATGAGAGAGAATCATGGATCAGCTGCCTCCTACATGCCCCCTAGTGGGGATTGAGCCCGCAACCTGGGCATGTGCCCCGACCAGGAATCAAACCGTGACCTCCTGGTTCATAGATCACAGATCAACCACTGAGCCACGCCCACGGGCTGATTTTCCTTCTTGTGCTGAACAGTAGGACTGGGCTGGGGAAAACCTGAGGGACTAATGGCTTTTCTCTTCCTCTGGGTGCCCAGCTGAAAGCGCTGCTTCACCAGTATTACCCAATTGAGATTGACCCACGCCGGACCGCCCAAGAGAAGTCCCCTCATATGGTGGAGTGGTGAGTGGTGGTGAAAGCCCCTGGCCCTTGCGGGGGTCTGGTCCAGGTGGGGCCTGGTTTCCTGAGCTCTGATGAGATGACAGACTTCCTTACCTTACTGGACGCTTAACTGAATGCCACAGGCCCAACTAGCAGAACAGATTGTCCAGACACCTGGAGCTGCCTGTGACTGCTGCTGGCGGTGGCCCACCAAGCGTCCTCGAGGGAGTTAGAAGCCCCTTGGTGTCGGGGAGTAAGTGCTCTGGGGAGATAACCTTCCTATAGAAACCAGTACCACTGGACAGAGCCCCAGTTCTCCAAGGGGCTCCTGGAAGGGCTTCAGAAGAGCTTTGACTTCAGCAGTTAACTCACCTGCCTCTTTTCTCTCACTTATGTTGCTAATTGATTCTAGAGCGAGGGGACGGGGGAGAGAGTGAGAACATGGATTGGTTATCTTTATTTTTTAATGTTTTTATTGATTTTTAAATAGGGAGGAAGGGAGAGGGAGAGAGAGAGAGAGAAATGTCAATGAGAGAGACACATCTGTCGGCTGCCTCCTGCACACCCCCTACTGGGGATGGAGCCTACAATCCAGGCATGTGCCCTGACTGGGAATCGAACCCAGAACCTCTCGGTCCATGGGACGATGCTCAATCTCCTGAGCCACGCCAGCCAGGCTCCATTGGTTATTTTCTGTACACACCCTGACCGGGGCTTGAACCCGCAACCTAGGTATGTGCCCTGACCGGGAAACGAAACTGCAGCCTTTAGGTGTCCAGGGTGAAGCTCCAGCCAATGGAGCCGCAGGGGCCGGGCACTCCCTCCTTTAAGGACAGCCAGGTTCTCCGGGAAATGGTTCTGTGGAAACGGATGAGGCCACCTCCCTTGTCAGTCCTTCCAGAGGGGACTCGGCCCTGAAAAGGGAAGAGTCGTTTTACTGATCTGATTTGGGGGTTTGTGGGTGTTTGTTTCTAGGTGGACCAAAGCACACGATCTCCTGTGTCAGCAGAAGATTCAGAAGTCCCAGATAGCCCAGGTGGTCAGAGAATCCAACGCAATGCTTAGGTAAGCTGCGTGCCCCGGGGAACATTTGAAACTGGTCTGCTCACAAAAGG